ACACGTCACTTTTTGTGCCACCTTAAGAACCCACCACCTTGAAACACCACGTTTCTCTTTCATCCGACGAAATGCGATGCGCGCGCGTACACGTATATTTCTTTTTTATTGTCCATTTCCGCGCGTACGTTTGCTTTCTCTCGATCAATGACGAAATTCGCAAGGATAAATTGTCCCGCGTCAAACAAATATGTATCTTCCGTATATGTACGGAATATATCGTTACCGCGGTAGCACGTCCCATACATTATCCAGGTTTTACAGTTGTCATTGACACCGATGATTTAAGACCATTCTTTCGAACATTAAGGCGTGCTCGTGTCTCGTTACCAGCATCGGCGCGCGAGTCAACGCACCTTTGGGCGACGGTTTGTTGACAGAAGCGATTCAACATTAATCTCCGTAATTATCCACATAAAATCTACATAAGGCCGAGATCGGTAAACAGCAGAAGGATTGTCGGTAAAAGTATTTCGAAATATTATGCAAGAATTTGGATATTTAATTCTCGCTCGCCTTTTCTTTCCTCGACATTACGCGTGTGCATAATAAATATTGCGTAATATTTATTGAAGAAACATATCTAATATATTGAAATAACAAATGCTGATTCTACGAGACGTTTATGTCGCGTCTCCGCGCATGGCATCCACATAAAAAATCCCTCTCCAAGGTACGAGGACCGAATGTAGATCCCAGCGACCAGGTCAGCGATTGCAGCTGCCTCGCGATTTTTGCGTAATCGGGTATAATGCCGCTGACGTAACGTAAGGCTTAACCATTAATAAAAAGGTTGCCGGCTAACGCGTACGTGCGCCAAAATCGGTTCTCCAACTGTACATACGTACAATAGTGCCGTCGACGAGCGAACGGCAAGGACACGTGAAAGTAATCGCCGATCTTCGCCGCGGGACCAAACCGGGCGGCGCGAATCGCCACGATAAGAAAAGAGAAAAGAAAAAGGAAAGAAGTAAAGGAGGAGCAGGCGAATCAGATCGAACGGGGAGCCAGGAGGAAAGCGAAGGAGGCAGGAGGTGGAACGGCGGACCAGATATACAGGGTCGTATACGCGCCAAGAAGTGGGTCGAGAGTTCACAGGCCGGATAATTAAATTCCTCGCCGAAGAAAGCGTTTTCCCTCTCGTTTAGCGAGTACCATCACCCTACCCCCGCCTTCGCCGTTACCCTCCCCTGCCGCCCAGGACGAGAAATGGGAGCCGGACGTATTGGCCGACACGCTACGCTGCTAGACCGGCCGTAATGGACTTCCTCCTCCATTAGGCGCCTACAAATCTCCCACCGTCGCGAATATTCAGCAGGCAGTTCCCTTTTAATTATGTTTCGGATTAGTTGGAACCACGGCCACCCGTTTGAGACCCCCAGGGCAATTTCACCACGCCGAAGAAAAGGCTTGGTTATAATAATCCAAGCTTGGTTGATGTTACCTAGATCTATGGTGAAATAGTTTCAACTGAACGCATAAGTTATTATGACGATATAAATTGGTTCAAGTTAAAACATTGCAGAGCTTAGTCGGCTCAACTAAGTGCAAAATTTAATCTTTCGAAATGTTTATACTTAAAAATACTTAAATACATTATATTGATTCCCCTCGGGGTTACAAGGCGTTTTTGAAGGAACGTACCCAAACCTCTTGTAACACCTCTCTCTATTTCCACTTCGCTATGTGGCGATCGAAACGAAAGCCAACAATGTTTTGTTCGGTTTTGAACCCGGGTCTTCGGATTACCAGACCAGCGCACAATCATCTGCGCCACGATCGCCACTTCAAAATGTTTATAATTATTTACCAAACGTTTCGCTATTATTATCGAATTCAGTAATAATGCACTATGCAAATTTTTTCTCAATGCACTGTCGGGCGACCGCTACTTCGTGACGTCGCTAGAATTAAGCCTGGATTGCTAATGCGGAAGATAGACGGGTCAATTAATCCCAGCCGGGTCTGTGTTCTCCGCGCGTTAATTTAAAATGTAATTCGTCATAGTCGGCGCGCGATCAAAAGGCATCTGGCGCGTGAGATCATTATCGCTTAAAATCGCCGGGAAGATATCGGCGCATTCCTTCGACCGGCGCAAGTACAGTTAATGCACAGCGGGAATATTTTATATATACTTTACGCCACGACGCGCCGCGCCGCGTAAGCTGATGCGCGCGAGACGCGCTCGCCGCGAGGAGGGTCGATGATTACGTCGATCCGAACGCGCGGAAGCTTCATCGCGCGGATGATACAACGATGGCGAGCCGCGTACTTTTCTTCCTGATGCCCGAGACTCTCTTTCTGCGACCAAGAGCCGGATGGTTCTACCGGATGATTGTGCAGTCCGTCGTACGGTCTCATCCTCGCAAACGGTCGCGAGTTACTTCTCCCTATTCTCCTTGTCGGCATCGCGAGCCTTTTCTTTAATGCCCCGTGTATTATCCGCCCATGTGGAATATACTGTCGTGAAGCATCGTGGCGCGATCGTCTTAATTAATCTCAGCCTTTTATCGCCGTATTAATTGGCTGTACGTTGAAAACTGGCACGTGTTATGACGGATATTAAGTATTACCAGATGCAAAGCGGTCGCTCTAGCGTCAGAGGACATCTCATTTCCATATCAAATCCACGTGCGTGTCGGAATTAATCAACCGGAGACATTTCTCGGCGAGCGAACCGGTCCGGTCGCTAAAGGCCTGTGTCCACGATGCTCGAACTTGGTCCTAGGTCCGGGAAATGTGTAGCCAATCAACTTGCAGCTATTCCACGAAGGCTGAAAGCTGCACATTTCTCGGAATTAGAACTTGGACCAAGTTCTAGCGTCGTCAACACAAGTCTTTAGCGACCGGGCCCAATTCTAGCATCGTGGTCTTTACAAATCCACATGGGCTAGTTACCCTTAGCCAAAAGTTCGTTGGGAACGTATTAATGTTCTCTGATGCAATAAGGTACGTTGACTGGCAATGGCCACGATAATTAAAGTCAAGATTCGCCAAGAGGAGCATGTATTGAAGAGGGCGATGCTGTGAGAATCCTAATGCGACCTCAATCGATCCTATTTCCATTCTAAGTGAGACGCGCGTACATTTTCACGAAACTTGCGCAATGCTCCGCGCAAATCTCTGCTCGCAGAAATGCTAAGAGCCGCACTAGCGTCAATGGATCTACCTTTCCTTTGGCAGATGCGTCGCTGGCTGAATCGAGAGTGACGTGATTGTTGGCCGCGTGACCTCAAGCACTCTTGAAATTGCCGCTAGCTTTCTTCCAAGTGACCTATCCGATGTAGAAAAATCTATTGTGCTATTGTTGTCGGTCGCTCAAACAGTTAACTGATAGATTGAAGATTGCACTCGTTACACGCGGGGAGAATTTTCTTTTCAAATTTACCCTGAAAATCGTGTAATCGTGGGACAAGATGGCATTTTGAATAGCAATTTTACTTGGTGTACATTTTACTAGTAGAATGTATGGTAAAATTTCAAAAAGCTCTCGTACAGTTCTTCAAAGTGCCACGTTGTCCCACGATTACATAACTTTCAGGATAAATTTTGAGAAGACATTCTCTCCGTGTAAAGATTTTAGCTCTTTATACTGCGAATGAAAATTTCCACGCGTTTTATCCACGAAATATATCCATTTTACGTATACTTAATGGATACGCTGTGTCCACTCAATTATTATTTTACTGATGAATATATAAATTACTACGGCAAAAAATGCAGAGGCCATTACCAGCTATTAAAAGCAAGAACTGAAAGAAGCAACGAATTGATATATATCTTTCGAAAGCTAGCAGGAAATATTGCGTAAACGCAATTGGAAGAATTAAAAGCAAAGGAATTACGCAAAAGTATCGTGCTGATATGTCATTTGTCGAAGAATAAAATAATATGTAATCTTAAATACATATGTTAAGAATTCGGATACAACTCCGTCGACTCAAATGGATGCAAATAGGATTAATAGCGGAAAGAGATAACGGACTATTCGTGTTTTTTTTTACTGTTGCAAATGTACTGTTGCAAGAACAAGCCAGCGAAAGATGCAAAAGAAGAAATACCTTACAGCGTAAAACGATTAACGGAAATGTTCAATGAGGAAATGGTTCGGTGCACATCCGGTGCTGCGTACCGCGCGAACAAAGAAAACTCGTTACATAATGTTTCCTTTAAGTTCAGCTCTTGTTACATAATGTACTCTCGTAGTTCGTCAAATAAATAACGCGTGTTTATGAGCTGGAAGCTTATTAGCATACGCCGTCATAAAGTCGCAGCTGTAATTAACGCATAAATAACTCTACCGATATTTGAAACTATTGTTTGCGTTGTCGTAACGACGTCTCTATTTGGATTTACGTGTGAAAAATTTATTTGTAATTAGAAAGATACTTAGAGAAGAGCGGAGTAAACTCATCTCTTACACGTTGAATAATGCAGGAACTCTGGATTATTTCACGCCCGTTAATTGATTCTTTTATAACACGCGGGAAATGTTTGGCATGCGCTAGTCGTATCTCGTTACAAATACCGCAAATGAATGCAGCGGCATTGATGCGTGGTGACGCGAATGAATAACGCGACGTCGCGCCAAAAGTACAATTGCGTCATCGACCCGTATCTAGCTTTCGAAAATGTGACGACACCAATTTAATTGTGTTATCTAATGGAGAAAAATATTTACCTGCACTGACGACTTGTCAAGGTAAACTTTTAAATAGGTCGTCTCTTATAACAAGCATTTTATATTCCCGCCGCGAAAAAATAACATAACGAAGTGACGCACGTACAGCATTTTATTGTAGCGACTCGCGATATGTTGTAACGCGATGCTGCAACAAGCTGGCTGCATCAGTGTTTACTTAATTATTTTACACATTAGGAAAATTAAATGTGAAATCACAGATACGAAGTAATAAAGGATATAAGAGCCAAGGCGGATGTTAGTGTCTAAATTTTAATTTTTTAAGTTCATTGCGAAAAAGTAACCTCAGCCAGGGTTTGAACCTGGACCTCCCCCTCTCACTAACCGGACGTCTCACCCATTCGACCACCGAGGCATATTAGGAAAACTTAATAGATGATATTCCAAATTGTTGTGAAGGCTCCCATAAAGAAATTATATAGAAAGGGAAGAGTGCCAATGTAAGCCACAAATGAACAGATAACGGTTCTCACAATTGAAAACAAATTATCTCTTTAATAATTATCTCTTTAATAAACGTTTCGACCCTGTTTCGGGTCTTCCTCAGTATAACTCGTTAAATTTGACTGGTTTGAGAATCATTCCTCTATCAGCTATGGTCTCACTTTTTCTCTAAATGGTCCCAGACATAAAGAGGACTGAAGACTCAGGTCGACAGAGAGATGGATCCGTTACAAAGGTTTTAACAAGACTGACAATTTTAACAATGTCTGGGACCATTTGGAGAAAAAGTGAGACCATAGCTGATAGAGGAATGATTCTCAAACCAGTCAAATTTAACGAGTTATACTGAGGAAGACCCGAAACAGGGTCGAAACGTTTATTAAAGAGATAATTATTAAAGAGATAATTTGTTTTCAATTGTGAGAACCGTTATCTGTTCATTTGTGGCTCACATTGGCACTCTTCCCTTCCTATGTAATTAATAGATGATGTTTCTTTTCAAATGTAGACAAATCCTGATTGAAAAATATCATTTTTCCATCAAGAAGATATTTCCTAATTAAAATTAGCTAGTTGTACTGATTTTTTTTAAATTGCCATTATTACGCCTTTGATTGAAAGATAAAGTTTAATGAACAAAACGGTATTTCACAAATATAGACAAAGCGTCATACGAATACATATTTGTAAAGTGTAATTGTCGGAATAAAAATTAATTTCTCTCGCGCGACTTAGAAATGTAAGATACTTCTAATCGTACCACTTTTACCGGTCGCCGTTCCCATATATTGCCAGGATAAGCAATGAAGAGAAAAATGGAAAATATAAGAGGTGCGTACACGCAATTCGATCGCCGGCAGATAGTCGGAGGCGAAATCGTTGGCGGGATCGCCGTCGCGACGAAGCACACGACTAAAGGAGTCTAGGTCTAGGACGCAAGCAGGGATCTATCGAGTGGCAGGACGTTTCGCAAGAGAAGAGACCGTCCGAAATCTCGAGTACATCGGCGATCCTCCGGCGAGGAGGACAGGTGGATGTTCGGAGTCGACTCGGTGAGCAAAAGAGAGAAGCACGAGGTCGGGAGGAGAGGGAGAGAATCGTCTCACAACTGAATTACTCTCACTCGAGAGGCCCCCGTCTCTTCTTCGTGGGGGCCCCACGTATATCCCCCTGCTTCTCCCGGGGGTATAAATGACTCCGGTGTACCTTCCACGGAGTCACAGAACTGAGGCGGCATCGCAGAAGCCGACATGAATCCTCTGATCGCGGTAAGCACGCTCTTTTTTTCCCATAATTACGTTAAGAAGCGATACGTGCGAGGTGTAGGGGGGAGAGGGCCGAAAAAGGAGAAAGAAAGCGAGAGTAGGGAAATGTGGTGCGTGGGCATATGCGTGCGGACGGGAGAAATCGCGCGAAAGAGGAAGAGCGCAGGGAGAGAGAGAGTCGAGTGATCGAGATTCCCTGGCTGGTAGAAACAGCGAGTGTTGCTTTTGTTGAATTTTCACGTCCCTATTGTCGTTCTCTTTCCACGCCTCGGATCTCGTGCGACGCGAATTTCAATAATCGACCCAATAAGCTCAATCTCGTGCTTTCCCTTTCATCCGCACCTCGTTGGTCTCTCGCGTAAAACGCTCGTCGCGATGTTAGCAACGTCGATGATTACGAAGCGTTGTAATGGGATCTCTTCTAATTTGCAAAAGGGATTACCGACCGCTGAATTTATCCCAGTTACACTTGCTCGAGAACTTCACAATGTATTTAGACTTGATAAATACAATTTCACGACTTGAAATCGAATAAATTTTTAATTCGCAAATTTTGTATACCACATTACGTAAATCCATTTACGTTGTAATAAATATTCTTTAACGGATTTGTACTTCTATATTTTTTTTTATAATTTATCATCTTTTCCAAATTATGCGGCGCGCGGTAATGATATACGGTGAGTGCGATGCAACACCACCACGGAAAGAATTAAATGTATCTTGTGAAGCTTTTCACAAGCACTTGCACTAGAAGTCTTGATTTTTCAAACTTTAACTGTTGAACGTTTGAACAGATGTAGTAGAAAATCAGCCCATATCATTTTAAGTGCAACGATTCGCTGTACATGACGCATTAACGTGTGCGCAATTTAAGCTTGCAGCGATATATGTAATTTGATTGTAACGCAGCCACAGTTACGCAGACAGATCGTCATCAAGGGATTAAAATGAACTCACGTTCTACCGTAGAAGTAATACAAGTGCTTTCTTACCGTGTTACAGTGTATGGTTGTCGGTCTGGCTGGGTTCGCCCTGGCTGAGGCGCCTGTGTCCTCCGGCTACAGTTACAGCAGACCGAGCGGCGGTGGCGGCGGCGGCGGCGGCTACTCCTTCGGCGGCGGCGGCGGCGGCGGCGGCTTCGGCGGTGGCGGCGGCGGCTACACCCAGGTGTCCACCGGCTACCAGACCAACGAGGGCGCTTCCGTGGACAGCGCGCTGCTCGAGCAGATCCGTCAGATTCTCCTGAAGGAGGAACTGCAGTCCCAGCAGTCTGGCGGATTCGGCGGCGGGGGTGGTGGATACGCCCCTAGCTCCAGCTACGGAGCGCCGTCCTCGCAATACGGCGCCCCGTCGCCGCAGTACGGCGTGCCGAGCTACCAGACCCGCGTCGTAGGCATCGATCTCGAGGGCATCAGGCAGGCCATCCAAGTGGCTCAATTCAACCAGGTCAGCCAAGGCCCCGGAGGCTACCCCAGCGGACCCAGCTCCAGCTACGGAGCGCCCAGCACCGGCTATGGAGCGCCCAGCAGACCGTCCAGTAGCTACGGTGCGCCGTTCTAAAAAATCACCTTGGATTTGATGATGAGAGAAAGAGAGAGAG